ATATATTATTGTTATATTTTACAAACAGCCTTGTCTGCTAGAGCAACATTTTGTCTTCCTTGTTTTATTTACATAGATATGATCTGCAGGCTTTGATCTTTTGTCAGCAAGAAACCCGGAAATATGTGCTGTAAATTAAATTTGATCGCAGCTTGTGTTGAGATGAAAGAACAAGTGAATGTGGGAGCATTTGTAAGTGTCACACTTTCAGCCAGGATTGTCATCATCAACCAGTCATTGAGCAATATAAGGTGTTTCAAGCCATTAAACCTATTGATTGAGAAGGTTCTGTATGAGATTGTGTTATGTGTATGAAGCACTGCAGTATACACGTATTTCTGCACAGGAAACATTGATAAGTAATGCTTACTATACATAATTTATTTAGCTTTTTCACTATTTTTACTGTGAAAATACATTTTATTTAATTTATTTTCATTTTTAGAATTAATGTATTTGTTTATTAATTTATTTAAAGGAATAGGCCTAGTTGACTCAAAAATTTAAATTCTGTCATTAATTACTCACCCTCGTGTCATTCCAAACCCATAAGACCTTCGTTTATCTTCAGAACACAAATTAAGATATTTTTGATGAAATCCTAGAGCTCTCTGACCCTCCATAGACAGCATCACAGCTGACACGTTCAAGGCCCAGTAAGGTAGTAAGGACATCATTAAAATAGTCCATGTGACATCAGTGTTTCAACCGTAATGTTATAAAGCTGCGATAATACTTTTTGTGCATAAAAAAAAACAAAAATAATGACCTTATTCAACAATTTTGATGCATGTTCACGACAGTACCACGCATGCATGTGTATTCCACTGATCACAAACAAGCAGCAAAGCATCTGGTTTCTACACTGATTTTTGCATCAGCAGCACCACACACATGCGTGGTACTGTCATGAACGTGCATCAAAGACTTACACGAAAGAGAAGAAATTGTTGAATAAAGTTGTTATTTTTGTTTTCTTTGCACACAAAAAGTATTCTCGAATTCTTTTCATTTTTCATTTTCATTTTCATTTTTGGGTGAACTAACCCTTTAAAGTAATCACAAAAAAAAAAAAATCTGAAAAAGACATGATGTATGAGATTAATAAATGTTTTCTTTCTTCTTCTCTTTTCTGTTCCCAGCTCGCACTTTGATCCTGTGGAATCAGACGTCAAGTCCCACCAATTCTACAGGTCAGTTTACAACTCAGGTCTTTATCTGTAAATATTACATATTGCAAACAGAAACACAATGTTTCAGCCAGTGGTCATGACTGTGATATTCCCAAGAAAATATTTAGTGTAGGCTTTGAGCATGTGAAATTACTTTAGACGCTGCAGTACATTTTGGCCATGATATCATGCACTAGAGATTCTGTTTTTAATAATAAATAACAAATAGTAAATTCAGAAATGGAAAGATGTAGTGTATAATTTTTGTGCCAATAGAATAACCAGATAAATAAAATAATGTGCTTTAAAACAGCTTTCGCAAACACAACCTGTGTCTTCCATAGTTTGGTCAAACAGATGGTCCCATGGACAAATGTATTTTTTTTAATGTAATAAAATGTACCCAGAATGCAGTGGATTAAGACATATATGTGAAAGTCTCCAGGGAAGATTAAGAATTCTTAAAAACACTTTTTAATCTCTGCTGGGCTCCACAGATCCTTTCTGATTGTAAGAACAATGTGTGAAAAAAACTCTGAATTCTGGAAAAGAGGCCAATTCAGATGATACGAGTGTGCCCTGCAGCTCACACAAACACATAGAAGAAAGCCGCAGCGATAAAGATGGATAAAGAGATATTCAATTGAAACCATCTTCATGAATCCCACGTGTCTCCCATGCAGCCCTCACCGACCGTTAATAGCCTTAAGTGCTTATGCCAGAGCCTCTGAATATGTTTACTCTCCAGTTTCTTAAGAAATAACATTTCATTTTGATCGTTGACCAGATACCACATAGAAAATAGCCAGTGTTAAATGATCTCCTGCGTAGGTAATAGGAAACACTTTGTGTTGATTGACTCAATTTAAAACAGTAAGTATTGATTCTGTGCACATAGCGGAAAGCTCAGTGCATTATCATCAAATATTGGAACACCAGTCACGAAGTTTGCACATTATCTTCAGTGTTTGTTTAATAAATATTTTGTTTAATCAGATTATGCTTTCAGCTGCCAATAAATAACACCTCATTTCAACAATACACCTTTGGCACTTTTCTTTACACATTTATTACACTACCAGTCAAAAGTTTGGAATAATTACATTTTTTAATGTTTTTGAAAGAAGTCCCTGTATGCTTACAAAGGCTGCACTTTGATCAAAACCCAGTAAAAATAGATGTGAAATATTATTTCAATTTATAATAACTGTTTTCTATTTGGATATATTTTAAAATATAATTTGTTGCTCTGATGGAAAAGCTGCATTTTCTGCATTACAGATCATAATCCTTAAGAAATCATTCATGTTGATTTGTTGCTCAGTTTTTATCAGTTATTATTGTTGCTCAATTATCAATAATGGTTCTACTGATTATCAATTTGAAAACAGTTTTGCTCTTATATTTATCATTAGTGTACTATGCTAATATAGTTATTGTTAGAGTTATTGGTGTGAATGGGCTTTCCACTGTGAAAAGTTATTTTCTTTTTTTTAAAACATAAAAAAATATGAAAACTACTAAACTACAATTGTAACGCCCCTGTGGACTGTTTGTTGTGGTTTCTTCCCTTTGTGTTGGTTTAGCCCGTCTAATCATTAGTTAATCACCGTCATTGTCCTCACCTGTCTGCCTCTAATTATTCACCCCATATTAGTTCCTGTCTGTCTGAGCATTGGTGTCGGTTATTGTTAATGTTACCCCGAGTGTGTGTCACCTACCTGGACCTGCCTTGTTGTGTCTACAATAAATGTCATTATTGGAATCCTTGTCGTCCTCGTCGTCCTGCCTGCCTCCACACACCCGTTTCCGTGACAACAATCATGCTACTGAAATATATAGCTAGTTAGTGGCATCACTACTTTTAGTTATTATCTTCTGTTTATTGTTTTCCAGGGTAATTATATTTAACAAAAACTAAAACAGAAACCAAAACTAAAATCTTTATAAAAAAAATTAACAAAAATAAATAAATAAAAATGTTACTTGAAACATTAACTGAAATTAAACTTTATATTTCTCATTTTAATTTGGTATAATTCAATGTACTATATGTACCAAAAATAACTAAAATTAAAACTGAAATAAAAAAATAATAAAAGCTATAGAGTCATACTGTATACAAAAAAACAAAAACTACTAAAAATGACAAAAACGGTCCGTGTACTTTTGCAAAATTCAAAATTCGTATTTCATTAAAAATCGTAAAAAATATATAAAGCTAATTTTTTTTTAGCATCTCTATACATAGACGCTAGCACCCTCTCGCGCTACTGACGTGGCTACCATAACTGCTTTATGAAAACCTTTAGCTTCGATATTTTTATGATCTTAAAATGCCCCTATTATGCCCCCTATTATTTCTAAGGTTCTTAGTATTGTTTGGGGAGTCTCCTACAATAGGTTTACATGCATGCAAGGTCAAACAACCCTTTCGTTTTCTCAAAATATGCATTTAATATCACCTCATTTCCAACGATTCTCAAACGATTTGTTTGAAGCAGTTCTAAGATTCAGTCTCTCTAAACCCCTCCTATGGTCTAGCCTCATTGATTATAACGGATTTTTGTGAGATCGCGATAAACTGAAATGAATGACAGCTTTATAATTATTATAGGGAGCGCAGACCGCGATTTCTTGGCTAATTCATTCTGAATTTGAATACATTTTCTTTTTCATGATGCTGTTGGACCACTGACAGCTGCACGCTGCAAAGTTTCGGGAGTGACATCCGCATATAGACTGCGACCAAAATGGTCACATTTGAGACAATTTTTTGAGAATGTGCAAGTTCAAATTTGACGTAGTCGTATTTGTGTGAGTACATGGTCTGCCCTGCTCCAAAGCATCTGCTCCATACAGCGAGGCACACTGTAGTAGGAGTCAGATTTCACTGATCACGTGAAGAGAGGCGCTTTGAGTGCGAATGCTTCAGGTGTAGAGCCTGGTTTATACTTGCCGTGTCAGCACAAGCGCGAAGGTGCGGAGATGGTCCTCACTGCAGAACACAAGATCAAGGGGGCGTGATTGGATCCAGATCCAACTCCTCCCACCTTACATATACCTAAACATACCCGTCTCCACCCCCTGATCCCTAAACCTACCCATCCCCACCCCCTAGATGTGGATCCAACCACGTCCCCTGGATCTTGTGTTCTGCAGTGAGGGGCTACTGAAGGTGCGCGCAGCACGCGGTAAAAATTATGCAAATATTCAGTAGCCCCTCACTGCAGAACACAAGGGGGCTTGGTTGGATCCACATCTAGGGGTTGGAGATTGGTAGGTTTAGGGGTGGAGATGGGTGGGTTTAGGGATCAGGGGGTGGAGACGGGTAGGTTTAGGTATATGTAAGGGGGGAGGAGTTGGATCTGGATCCAACCTCACCCCCTGGATCTTGTGTTATGCAGTGAGGACCATCTTCAAATATTGAGGAAATTATGGAAGACGGTGGATTTGGTTTTCACACTAAAATAAAATAAAAGACCGCTTCATAAACCAGAGAAGGTGAACATGTTGGTATTCTTGTGGGAAAAAAAAAACACATGCAAGTCCTGTCACCGACAGCCAGTTTAGTTTCTCTTTTCTTTTTTTGTTTTAAAAAGCTTGTTATCTTTGCTGTTTACCTTACTTTACGCTATGGAGGCTTTCTTTAATTTTTTTTGTTTTTTTATTTATTTGATTCCTCACTGTTTGCTAAACATTCTGTAATTTATTAGTCGGTGTATATAATATAGCATGTGGAGCCATGCCTCATCTTATTCGTTTTTGTTAAACGTCAATAAACTTTTTAATTAAGAATAACAATAAATCAATCTTTTGTTTTAGTCTTAAAAAGTGAAAGGTGTATAGATATAAGCAAAACAGACAATTATCTTTTCTTGTAAAACGTGACACCAAGATCGTGAATTTGAAGTGAAAGTGTCCAAAGTCCGGCTTATAACACAGCAAAAGAGGAATTCCCCTTCACAAAATTTAAATCACAAATAATACTGATGAAAAAGAACGGGTTGAATGTTGAACACTCATTACCATATAACTATAAACAATGATAAAAGTTCATCAGCATGCATTGATTAATGCCATGTTGTAGCAAAAAAACAAAAAAAAACAAATTGCGACCAAAAGATGTGCTCGTGTGACCAACTGAGAAAGTTAGTCGCAAAAGAACGACCAGTGGGAAGAATGAGTCTAGAGCCCTGTATAGCCTAAACGCATCATTATGCGGATGCCACTATCGGTGAACAGGGCAAAAATATGTCAAAATGTATAAGGCTAGAGCACCCTCACTGATTTCAGAAGCACCCTCAGTGATTTGATTCAGGAACCGGGCATGCTTGTATCTGGAGATTATAACTTTATATATTTCTATATTAGCCTATATATTTACCCCATATATTAAACCGTGTGTAGCGCTCTAACACAATGTAGCCTACTGTACATGCATTGAGCGACCATGCACGGTCCTCTCCGATAACGTACCCAGATAGCACACAAAATTATGAGAAAATTATATCACAATATATAATTTCATGATGATAGATTTCCCAGGATTCTGCAATGTCTATTTTAAAAATCATATTAGTATTAAGTCTCTGCATTGTTTTTGACATTAATAAAATCTATAAATGTAGCCCATGAAGCACAATAAAAAAAATGTTTAACGTATAATATAATGAAAACAGCTTAACAAATAAAAATGTATCTAGTTAGTTACTTATAACTTCATCAGTTTTCTTCACATTTAGGTCTAAAATGTACTCATTTGTAACCAAATATGAACAATTCCAGCTAAGCGAGCCCAAATTTGTGTGTTTGTGTTTTATAATCTATTGCTTTAATCTAAAGTCGTTCTTCTCTCTGTCCCTGTTTTTCAGGTTTGTTCTGTAACACTTCGATTGATGGCATTGGGACATGCTGGCCCAGGAGCAGTGCTGGAGAAGTGGTGTCCCGTCCCTGTCCAGAGACCTTCCTCGGAGTCCGTTACAACACCACCAGTAAGTGCCGAGCATCTCACATCGCAGTCCTGTCTGGACTGCTCCGTCTGCTCCTGTTTATGAGAGCACAAGCTGTTTCTTTTTTATATCTGTTTTATAGAAGACCTAGGCACTTGACTTATATATTCTCACATGTCTTGTCAAGCCGATGTTGTTGGACTTCAAATGATGGCAGGTCTTTGGGGATATTTTCAATGCCTGTAACGTGTTGAAGTCATGTTTTGGATGAATGTATACATCTGGCACTGCTTGAAAGGAACAGCAGCAGTTTGAGCATCATAACCGAGCTGAGAGCTACACTACATAACAAGCTTTCAGATTCATGTTTGTGCGTGTGTGTGTGTTTAGGGTGTGTGCACCTCTGCCAAATTGGCCTGTGTGTGTTGGGATGCATGTAGGTCAGTTTTTGAGCTGGTGCATGCTACCAAGTTATGTTTTACCATTGCTAACAAGCACACTAATTGTTCTGCCAGTGTGAGTGTGTGTGTGTGTGTGTGTGTGTGTGTAGTTGTAATGAGAGAGACTCACTGCTGTGACAAAAGTGTTCCAGTATCCCTCAGAGATGAGTTCTAAATGCTCCCTGTGGACAGATGTATAGTTTTTTTTAATGAAATGATACATTGCCACATTCTCTTTGTTCATTCTTCTTTCCTTCTTTTGTTTTCTATTTATTCCTTTCTTTCTTTTTCAATTTTTTTCCTTCCTTCCATTCTTCCTCCCTTCCTTCCTTCCTTCCTTTTGTTTTCTTTCATTGTCTTCTCTTTATTCCCATCTTTCTTTTTATTCTTGCTTTCTTCCTTCCTTTTGTTTTCTTTCTTTGTCTTCTCTTTATTCCCATCTTTCTTTTTATTCTTGCTTCCTTCCTTCCTCCTTTTGTTTTCTTTCTTTGTCTTCTCTTTATTCCCTTCTTACTTTTTATTCTTCATTCCTCCCTTCCTTTCTTTTGTTTTCTTTCTTTGTCATCTCTTTATTCCCATCTTTCTTCTTATTCTTGCTTCCTTCCTCCTTTTGTTTTCTTTCTTTGTCATCTCTTTATTCCCTTCTTTCTTTATATCCTCCCTCCCTTCCTTACTTTTGATTTCTTTCTTTTTCTTCTCTTTATTCCCTTCTTTCTTTTTATTCTTCCTTCCTTCCTTCCTTCCTTCATTTTGTTTTCTTTCTTTGTCTTCTCTTTTTCCCCTTCTCTCTTTTTATTCTTCCTTCCTTCCTTCCTTTTGTTTTCTTTCTTTGTCTTCTCTTTTTCCCCTTCTCTCTTTTTATTCTTCCTTCCTTCCTTCCTTTTGTTTTCTTTCTTTGTCTTCTCTTTTTCCCCTTCTCTCTTTTTATTCTTCCTTCCTTCCTTCCTTTTGTTTTCTTTCTTTGTCTTCTCTTTTTCCCCTTCTCTCTTTTTATTATTTCTTCCTTCCTTTCACCCTTCCTTCCTCCAGCCTTCTCTTTAATTCATTTAGTCTTTTCTTTTGTTTATGTCTTTTCTTTCATTACTTTTTGTATTTTCTGTCTTCCTTTTTCATTCTTTTATCCTTATTTCTTTCTTTCTCAAATGTTCAGTCTGGTTTACCTCTGTCAAACAAACCCTGTGGCTGCAGATTCACAAGCCTTTGCAGGTCTTTCAAGTGTTAGAAATAGTAGCTGAGATGGGTTAAAGCTTTTAAGACATCAAAAATGAATGTAATCTTAATCCTTAATTTAATTTATATTTAGGGAGATGAAAATGTTGACTGTTCGCGTGGAGCCAAGGCTCTCGATGAGAGAATGTCCATTAGTCATATTTCTTGAAACACGTGTAACTTGTTTAGCAAAAAAGTGAAAAATAGACAGGCAAAGAGAATCTAAAGAGGAGGAGAAACTGAGAGAGAAGGAGATTGAGAGAATGAAGTCTGATGCCAAAGTCATTATTAAAGGGGTCATAGGTTGCCCATTTTCCACAAGTTGATATGATTATTTGGGGTCTTAATGAAAAGTCTGTAACATAGTTTGGTTAAAATTTCTCAATGGTAGTGTAAAAAACACCTTTTTTACCCTGTCAAAAACAGTTCTTTTCAGATCAAGCCGTTTTTGTAGCATTTTCCTTTAAATGTTAATGAGCTCTGCTGACCCCGCCCCTCTCTTCTGAGCTGCTCTCAGAGAGACTGTTTACTTTAGCCCCATTCATCGTGAAACTAGCTAATTAACACATTATTAGGAAAGGCGATTTGCAAAGATTCATTACAAAACATTATTACAAAACATTATACTCACTTCTTCTGTAGATGAGGCTGGATCACGAATCATTCGCACGAACATAGACGCATTTATGTAGATCGGGGCGCATTCCCTTCAGAAACAAATGTAATCCATTGCGAGTTCAGCGGCTCAGATGTCAGGAGTAAATGAGGACTGTTGTGATGTCACACAGACAGGCATCTGAGATCGGCTCGATTTGAGAAAGGGGAAAACATTTAACCAGATTAAAAAAAAACACTGGGTGGATTTTTATCATTATAGGGTGGTTGTGTACACACTGCCAACACACATTTCAGTTCAAACAACTTGTAAAAGTGCATGTAGCATCCTATGACCCCTTTAAAGATGACATATATGAGAATACGGATAGGCAGCCAGGGGACAGAGAGAACTCAGGAGTAATGATTTCTTTGCACTGTTTTATCCTTAATAATAATTCCTTTTTTCTCCTACACCTGGAACAAAGTTTAGAAAGACAGTGAGAGTGTGTGTGGTTGATATACATTCTCATACACATGAAGGAATGGCCCTACACCCATAGATGCTGGGTTAGTTGATTAGTGTATTAAGATTCACTGGAGCTGATAGCATGATTGATTTTTAAAGTCCCATGGCTGCAGCATATCGTAGAGCTTCAGGCAGTGTGTAGCTCAAATCAGGAACATTCACAATATTCACAGGGCACTGCACACAGTCTGTGCGCTTATATCGGCTTTTCTCATGGTTTTTATTCCCCAGTGGAATGAAATCTGTGTGTTTTTAAATGATAGAAAAAAAAAGATTGAAAGAAAAACAGTTTTTATGTACATGCTTTTTTGTTGGAAATGTATTTTTGAATTTATGTTAGAACTAATTTATAACAAAACACCCCAAAAAAAAAAAAGTTGTTTTATCTAGAAAATAACTTTAAAGTAATAGTCTTTCACAATATAATTTTAAAAGTTTTATTTGCTTTTGTTCTCATTCATTTGAACACATTTTACCATCACTTAAATCAAGTGGTCTTATTGGTTAATCAACAAATGTTTTGATGTTCCTTAAGATTTTTGTTTATGTCTGTTATGTATCAAAAACATCAAAACATAATGAATGAAACAAATCCAAAAATAATGAATTTTCATAACAGAATTGCCAGTCACCAGTGTGTTATTGAGCATTTGCATTTTGTCAGTACAAAACAGCATAGACTGTAAAGGATTTAAGAGGTGGATATTAGTTAAATCAGTAGTAAACAATCAATATACATATTTCAAATCAATGAAAAATGCTACAGTACTGCAATGTACAGTCATCACATTACAAAATGCACTTGCATTACCCAAACAAACTGACATAAAATCCATGATGTTTGTAATATCTAATGACACCGCCATAAGGTTTTCCATTCTGCCAGTAGAATAGCGTATACTGTCAGTACTGTTAATTATATTGACTTTTAAAATTGTATTTGCACATCTTCATGATTTCTCTAATGGGCAATGTCGTTCATTCACAAAGTCAGTGCATACACACAAACACTTTGAATGTACATGGTAAACATATATTTTGTTTATCAGATGATGTTCAGATGATCAGATGCACATCTGAATATGTGTAGAGATACCAAAGGATTTGTTAATGAACCATTAAGAACAGTTGGATTTGTATGTAAACATGAGAACAGGTGCAAATGAAAAGTTTAATGTTAACTACATTGTGAAAGTAAATTGTACCAAGCTAACTAAAATATGCTTAAAGATTTGAGAGGGGAAAAAAATGAAAAAGATTAAAGAAGATACTCATTTGAAGAAAGATAATTCTGTTTGAATTTGTGTGGAGAAAAAAACATGCAGTACCACTCTAATGAAAGTACAATAGCAGGTTTTGAATGAAAGATTATGTTTTACAACTGTGAACGATTTGTCATTTTGTACTGAGGGTTTTAAAAAAGTGTACTAATAATTAATTGCAGCAATGCATAGTATTTTTTTTTTTTTGTAGCACATTAGATTGAGTAAAATGACATTGAAGGCTTTAAAGGGGTCATATGATGCTGCTAAAAAGAACATTACTTGGTGTAGAGTTGAAATCAGGTCAACTTTATGGTAATGAGCTATGACGCGGTTCGGCGGCAAACAATCGGAATGTAGAAGTCCACCGCTTGAGAGGATTCCAGAGAACGCAGTCCTGTAAACTTTGGTTCCGACCACATTAGTTCCCAAGCAAAATGGAGGAGAGGTTGATTATTGCTGTGGCGGGTTCCCCAATAATCTATGACTTGTTCCTGTTTGCGTACAGGGACATAAAAAAAAAAAAAAAAAAATGATGCATGGACCAAGGTGTCTGAGATTGTTGGTGCTCCTGGCGAGTTGCTGATGTGCAACGTTATTGTAATAATAATCTAATGACATAATAAATATTGTAGTATTTCCTCAGCAACCAGTACGGATCAGCTCCAGGCATGACGAAGCAGATATCGTCCTCTTTTGGAAGGCCAAACAAAGTAGTTTCGCTTTCACAACGAATCACACAGTGCCTTCACAACATGGCGGCGGCAACAACAATACTACAGCGAGAATAAAAGTTACGCTGTCTTTCTTTGCGTGAACATTTGGCCGGCGTTATGCAAATCTTCCCACATAGTGGCGTGTTAGAACGAGCCGTTTTAGGTAGGCGTGGTTAACTCTTAACTTTTATAAAGAATATCTCTTTGGATTTAAGACTTTAGTCTTTGCAACTTTACAGATCTTCTTTATGCACCAAGAGCTTGTAACACTCCAAAGAGAAAGGAAAAATTG